CCCTTGATGGGTGTGGATGTGGGTGTGGATGTGGGTGTGGGTGATTGCGGGTGTGGGTTCGGGTGTGGATGTGTGGGTGGATGGGTGTCAAGGGGGAAACGACGAGTTGTGAGTTTGTGATTTAAAATGAGTTTGAATGATTTATCTGATTTAAAATGAGTTTGAGTGATTTATCTGATTTAAAATGAGTTTGGCTGATTTATCTGATTTAAAATGAGTTTAGCTGATTTATCTGATTTAAAATGAGTTTAGCTGAGTTTAGTGATTCAAAATGAGTTTGTGTGATTAAAAATAATGCATCTGATTCGCTCTCATAGATGACATTGTGAATTTATTGCGATGGTTATCTTTTATGCAACAAATAATGGACATCTGAAGAACTTGCATTCTGTGTATTCCAGTCGTTTTCTAAACCGAAAGAAGGATCCTTAGTAACCACATTGCTGAAACAATAAGTCAGATTAGAAAAAAAAGATAAGGATATATTTCATAGTAAATTGACTTTACTTTTAACGAATATGTTTACATGACAATATTTATGTTTATACATATATATATATATTTATCTTCTTTCTTTTGCATAATTTTTTAAGCAAATACATTCACTATTAAAGCGAGGTCGACTAGACGTAAGTTCATTATCTGAAGCAATGAAATAAATGGATACACTTTTATTTTTTTCGTATAATTATGATATAATATATGGAAGAAAGAATTCAAAAAAGTTACACTGTCTGTTGAACCCTTTTCAATCGATCAGAAGACAATATAGGTTTAGTTTTTGAAAAATACCAGTTCGCGGTCTGTTTATGCATGTATTTGATGCGACCATTCACCTCAATGGGTAAGAAAGAGTCAGATTGAGAATTGTTGATCGAATCAAAAATGCGCATTCCTCGAATGGTAGAACTAGACACATTCGGAAGAACATCAAGATCAAAGTCATCGATAGGAATTGGTTCATCATCTTCATCTAGAATATCGCTTTCACTAGATGGCATTTTAGATTGGCATTGTTTATTATCTTCCTCGTCCTCTTCCTCTTCATCATCGTCTTCATTTTCGTCTTCGTTTTCATCATTTGATTGAGCAGGTTTTCTCGTAGAAATGCATTTTGATCTTGATAATCTTTTGTATGCCAAACGATTCACTTGGTCGAAAGATATCATGTTATTATGGGGATTAAGAATAGAAAATTCACAACCAGATAGAATTTGACTAGCTTTAATATAAGCACTAAATACTTTTTCTTCAAGTAGTTTCTCTGTCATTGTGATTGCGATTGCGGATGTTGAATGCGCTAGAAAATTTTGTTTAGATTGCTTGTGGTGTTTAGGAAATATAATATTGTTTTTTTTAGATTCAGAGGAGCACTTGATGTTTTGAAGAATAGCGAGTTTTTCGACTCGCTGAAGAAATTCGTAAACGGAAAAATTCACGACGGTTGAAAAAGGACCGGACATCGATCGGGCTGCGCGGAATGTGCTTTCGCATATTTGCGAATTGAATAACGAAATGTTTAAGCCTTCTTCAGTGATTTTCTGTTCCATCAATAGTACAACAAGATATGTTAGACTATGTGCATTCAATTCGAGCGAGAAAAGAGCCGGCACGGAGATGAAGAAGTGTTTTTTAGAAACAGGTGTGCCAAACTCAGTTGAGAACAAATGAGAAGCTCTTTTTTTAAGTTCATGGCAGTTTATGCTTTGTTGCCATGCAGACCAGATACGTACGATAAACACTGCACACCAGGCATAGTAAAGACGATCACATGTTGTAGTGTTTTTGTCGACGTAAGCCAAACGAACACATTTTATTATCTATAAAAAACAACTTTATAATATTTTGGCATTTAAAAATATTCAGTAACAAAGTAACTAGGCCAAAACTATTAAATAACCTTGTCTATATGTGATGCACAATTTTTTTGTGTAATTCCATTTATTTATCCAAATGCGAAGGGATACTATCCAGTCGATATGATAGTTACCGACTTTATACTTAGTTAGAGAAATCAATAAAATTTTACCTCTAGATAAGCTTGTGTTGCTTCAGAATTCGCAATCTTTTTAAGCGAAGAAAGAGCAGCGTCACTGGTGATTTTTTCACATGATGAATAGTTTTGTTTGTCTTTTGGACAAATATCTGATATGGTTAATCCATGATCGATCTTCGAATGATTGTCAATCAATTGTATGAGATCCTTGATGCTGGCATACTTCTCTCCCATTAATAAAATAGTATTTGAAGATAAAAGGCGATTCCGTAGTTTGGTACACAGATGTGTTGCGTCTTGTAAACATACAAAGAGTTGTCTTGATTTTAGAAAAAACCAAGAGGTGTTCTAAATAATGCAAAACACAAAAAAATTTGAATAAATTCACACAATTGTGTGTTGTTTCTATCGTACTAAAATACTAATATTGCTTTTTGAAAAACTTCATAGTAGTTTAGAAATTCACAACAAGTATTCTCATCTTCTCTTTTTATTACTAAGAGCAAATAAAGTTTAAATTGCAAATGATCCAAGTTTTGGCAGTGAGCAAATAAATTAGATTTTCGCTCCAAAATATGGCTATTCAGACGAATAATTAGATAAAAAATCAGTGACAATCTGCTACTAGATCTAAAGAAAATTATATATTTCTTCAATTATAATCGTTTGCTCAAATATCAATTAATTTCTGTATAAGATCGATTCGAATCTGAAAGTAATCGATTAAATGTTGATTCGACTAAATATGGTAGATATTGTTTTTTTTTATCATGGTTAGCCATTGACATGCTATGAGATTATAAAATACCAAAGCGTTTTACATTTCCCAAGGTATTCAGTGAAATAAAATTTAGCAAAGTCCTTTTATTTTGAATAGCTTGAATAATGTTAATATATCTTAGAAATATTAAATTAAAACAACTTTATTTAGAAAGTCAATGCTTGAAAACTAAGTCAGATAAAGCACATACTCAGTCAATTTATATCGATTTAATGTTTGATCGAGTTTTTTCGTTAATATACTTCTCTAAGTAATATACAAACTTATGGATTACTCTTCTTCTGAATTTTGCTAAGGTATTTTCCATAATGGTTCTTTTAAACGAAGTTACTTCATTTTCTTCAGTAAGTAGTGTCAATAACGAAAACAAAAGTGATGTAGATAATATAATACTTTCTCTTCATTCAGTGTATGCCAATGTAAAAAAAAAGAGTTTTTAAGTAAAGATAACTCATCTCACTGAAGATCAATGTAAAATAAAAAAAAGGAAGATCCGATTATCATTGATTTCTTCAAAAATATTTGGGAAATTTATGTCCACTTCTATTCCCTATGACATGTTTATTAACGTGCATAGGATACATGAGTAGATCCATCTTTTCTCCTTGACATCTATACTTATTCACTCACTTTAAAAAAAGAAATTTCTAAATGATTAGGATGTTCTTCAAAACCGGTTTGAAACTTTGAAAAGAATCCCATCGAATCACGCATCGCTTTCATTTGTTTTGGATCACAGTCTGCTGAAAAACCTAAAATTCGGATATTTTGAGTCATACATGAATCAAAAATGCTTGACCATCTCTCAAGAATATCTTGAGACGTATATTTGCTGTTAGTACCATAAGCAGCAAGGAGAAATGGCGATGGTGATGGTTGACCAATAGAACATACTGCTTGAATAACGTGTATGTTGATGAGAAATGATTTATCTACTTCTTCATACCACTTTTCAAGTGTACTCAATGAATTAGTAGAAAAATAACGAGCGCAAGGAAATCCATTGTTAAGTGGAAGCGTAAAACCAACAAACGAGTTTGAACGTGAATCGTAAGAGACTTTTGGTACGACTGAAGTACTGTCTTCTCCACAGAATGCGTACTTACAGTCAAACATATTGATAAAATCTTTCAAATGTTCATATTGAAAATCACCTTCAATGAAATTTTTTTTAGAAGATGTGAGAAGCGATCGTAAACTATTTAAACAAGGAATAGATCCAGGAATATTTAATCGAACAAATTCATAAACGTTACGTCCTCCAAGAATATAGAGGGAAGCAGCGAAATCTTTCACGGATTGTTGGTAGCGAAATGCATTTTTAGAACATGTGATGTTAGATAGAAGATTTGAAATAAAATCCAATGAAAAATCCGTCAATAAGTTCGATTCCAAACAATGTATAAGGTCGATCAAGAATGGAAATCGTTGAAGAAGTTCAAATGAAACCGTTAAAGGCGTGCCAGCTAATGAAGATGTAGAATCAGTAGCTGTAAGAAGAGTACGCAGTGAACGTATAAATTTTTCGAGCTTTAAGCGAATACTGGGCATGATAAAAAACGAATAGTTGCCCAGATTGTCTTTGCCCGGAATACCTAAAACTTCTTTGATTGATGTTGTTTGATCTGATTCAATTTGAAGAATGGAGAAGACATCGTCAACCTCAATTAAATCCATTGAAGAATTGATCAGTTGAAACTTAAGTAATTTGAGCACTTCCGAGCCGCAAAACTCTTCGACGATACAGTAAAAAGAATCTCCGTAAAGCGAAATTGCATTAGTTGGAAGAGGAAAGTTCATCTGAAATAAAGAACTATTTGAAAAAAAAACAGTGGTAAACAATAAACGATCATCATAATAATATATATAGTTAATTTTTGAAAACGTTACCGTTTCATGTAACACTTAGTTACTGATAAGATTGTTACCTTAGTCAGTTTGTTGTATATTTACGACACTAGAAAATTCATTATTTTAAAACTGAATTCCATACGTTCACTGTTAGCAAGATTGCAATTGCTGGGAAAAAGAGAGACAAAGTATTTCATATAACAGTAGAAAATATATAAATTTATATGAATATGTTCATTGAAGCAGTTTTCAATACTGTATTAATAAAAAACGCAGAAGACTATAATGAAAAATAAATTATATAAAGCTCTATTGAAACAATTGATAACATTTTTTTCTTTTTCTAACGAAACAAAGCCTATATATTGATCTTTGAATTGATTTATTCTTACTATAATAGCTCGAACTACTGGGTTACTTTCAATCATTTTTTTAAGAATAAATTTTTCTATCTCTAAGAACATCGGTAAAGTTTGATAATCAGAATTAGATTGATATGTACAATAATTTTCAGCACTGTATTTGACTTGATACGTTTATTTCAGCAGTGAACAATTCTCTTATTCTTAATAACAAATAAAAGATACGCTATAGACAAAAGATAGATAGATGAAAATAATGAATGTAAAGAAATATAGGAGAGAAAGAAAATGTAACATTTTTATTGACTTTATTTCAGCTAGATAAACGACGAGGCATGAATTCTCTCTCTCGTTCCTTCTCTTTCATTTTAATCTAACTAAACATGTACTAAAAATGTTCGTTAAGACATGCTACTGTTCATAAAAGCACGTGCTTACTTACTTAATAGAGAAGAAAGCAATACACTGGGCGTTATACGACGAAAAAACAATGTTCAATGCTTGTATATTAGCATGATTTTCTTTACTTTCGTTAAATATATAGAAAAATTAAAATGTCAGTCGAAGAAAACTATTAAATTCGATTGTACTGTAAGACTGGAAAATACAATTTTTCAATTAAAGCTGCTGATTTAAAATGAGTTTGTGTGATTTATCTGATTTAAAATGAGTTTGGGTGATTTATCTGATTTAAAGTGAGTTTGAGTGATTTATTTTGAGTTTCAGCTGAGTTAAATCAGTAGTTTCCCCCTTGTAAACACTTCACAACTCTGAACATTGAACACTTTTTTTCGGTCATTTCTGTAGAAAAAACCTCTGTATAGTGAACATACACTGACCAATTACGCTTTTGTGTATGCAATAAGGAGATAAAAAACTAGACTGTACATAATAAAGCAATAATAAATCAAATTTGAACTGTCAATTCATCATAACACACTTTGTCGTATGTATGGAACAAACAGAACAATGATAATGAATAGTCCGCGATGAGTTAATCGATTCTATGTGAGAGAATAACGCACATTTCTACTTTCAATTGTAGAATGGCGACAAAGCACACTAACCTTATCTGAAAAAGTGCACTTAATTCGTGAAAATGAAATGAACACTTCTTATCATACACTTGCTGAGAATTACTAGATCTCGATCGGCAGTGTGTCAAATATTATCAAGNACCCACACGCCCACACACCGACACCCACACCCACGCCCACCCCCACGCACACCCACACCCACACACACACCCACACCCACACACACACCCACACCCTATATTGAATAAATGTTCCTTCTCTTGTGGATAACCGAAGATAGAATTGTTTTCTAATTTCAAACGTTTCAGAGTAGTGAAATAATAAAATGATGGATTATTGAATGAATAAATCTGTAACACGATCGAAAATGATCCTTGAATTAATCAATTGTGGATCATAAGTTTCAATTAAATAAGATAATTGATATTTATCGAATAAAAAAGAAATTAAATGAACTAATATTGAAGATGATGAAATTTCATATCAGATTTTCTATTAATGTTGTTTTTTGTTTCTTTAAAAGAACATTTTAAAATTCTTCTAATGTACAATGAATTGAATCAATGTCATTATAGTATTGAGAAATTAAGATAAAGTTAAAAACGAAAATGGTTTAATTATTTCAATGCAGATGAAATTCAATGTTCTCATCGTTTTCCATCTTCAACAATTAAGATTAAATCTTTCAAAATGAGTTGTTAATAGAAATAGATAATTTTACAAATCAATTGTACAAGATTTTTTTCGATGTAGGTTGATTTATTTTATATTCATTATCACGTGAAAAATAGCTGATTTTCATCTTTTTTTAAATTTCATGAATATCAAAAGATCTTCTGAATTTGTTCAAAAGTTAAATTTTTCAGCATGCAATATTTTGTTTTGTAACTTTGAATAGATTCAAATAAACTTGGAATTTTAAATTCTTTTAATTGATTAATTCAAGTACTATCAGGCGCATAAAAGAAGCTTTTAAAAAGGTGAATACTTGCAGGTTTCATTAGCAACATTCAAGAAAAAATAAGAAAGTTGTGGAACCAATGATAGCATCAATGAAAATTTCATCACATTTTGAAGTTCAATATTTGTTGAAGATAAACATTTGAAATGAGAGAATTCCTAAAGAGAATAATTCAAAAGAAAACGATCACTTTCATCAAATGATTGTTTGTCAGATAAATCTAATAAAATGATTCGTTCATTTATCAAAGGATCTCTTTGAGTTTTTGTCCCATTTTCAAAATTCAAATATAAAGTCATTGAATAAATGCATTTTGAAAAGCAATCGTTGAAATCTTCTAATAAATAGAATAAATGTAATGCGTTGAAATACTTGAAACATTGAAATAGAATCTCGTTTGTAAAATTTGAAAATGTACTAATAGAACATATTTCTTCTCTTTTTTCACTTTCCCTTCGATGATTTAACTCTAATAGCTTCTTATGTTTCTTTCTTTCTTAGCATGAAACCTTAAATGTAAAAGTACATTGAGATAAGCGGAACAGTAGGAAATAATGATTGACTGACCTTCTATTTTTTGCTAGACACTAGATATAACTTTAAGGGTGTGGATGTGGGGTGCAGGCGCAGTTCTTGGAAAAATAATACCCACATCCACACCCCATATGTTTTCAAAATTCATTGAATAAGATTTTAGTAACTAGAATCTTTGTAATTAATTTGACGATGCTTATTGAATACTGATATATGAACATTAACATATTTCTATAGAATCTTTGAATTGATCTTATTATGCCGAATATGTTAGTATGTCAATTGGAATGATGAGAGAACGATTATAATCACTAACATTCAGAACCTCGGGTTGATATTTATTAGTCGATTCTTCGAAACATTTACATCTATACTCAATATAGAAAATATAGATTGTTATATACGTAAAAGCATAATAGAAAACTTGTAAAGTATTTTGATAACTATCGAAGAACAAGTTTAATATAAAAGGTCGTGTTTGTTTTAATAAATTGTACAATTGTAAAGAAAAAACTGCACATATTGTAAAATATTATGATAAGATAGAATTGAAAATAATGTTATTATTCTGTATAATGAAAGAAGGTGGTGAATGTAAAGTTTTTATTTGCCAGAATCTTGATCTCCAAAATAGAGTAGTGAGATCCTCATCTAAAAATGTATCACTACCTTGAATAGTTATATTCAGATTGATTAAATGTTGTCCCCATTGTTCTATCATTGATTGCCAAAAAATAGGACTATAAATCTCTGTTCGAATCATTGTTTCATAATTAAAATAATCATGTGTAGAATTTAAATAGAATTTTTTTAAATATGGACATGCACGAAGAATATATTCAATAGAGATTGTTTCACAATAACTATTCTTAACAATCAATACATGCATATTTACGGCACATGGAAATACTATTGGATTTTTGGTTGGATAACGATTAAAAGGATCATCATCATCTAATACACCATAAAATTCGTCTAAATTTAATACTTTTAATTGAGTTGTATATCGAAAAAGATGAAGTAACCAAATAATCGAATAAATATGACCAAGTTTCAAATGTGTAATTGTTGATATTGTTGACGTTAAACAACCGAATGCTTGGTGATTATATTCTGTATCCATAATCAAATACAGAAGAGAAGAATATTTATTTGAACAGAATTCATGTGTTGGACACCAATGTTTAAAATAAATATATTCATCTTTATTGCAATTTTTCTCTGTTTTCATTGTTTCTATGTTGATTATATTAAATAGAATTGACATATTATTTTCAAAAATAATGATACAAACAATAGATTTTATAATAGTCATCCTATAGGGCACACTTAGATCTTCAAAGTTTCAAATATGAAATAGCCTCAGATCCTCATGCACTATCCTATGGAATATCGTTAGTTGGTTGAACGCTTGTTATAGTGACCAATCAGATTCAAGGGCGTGGTTTCTCTGCTAGCGTAAGGAGAAGTCATAATGCTGTTAGGACCGTGAGAAGGAACGTCATAAATAACTCCCTAAAACTGTCCTTTCAATGGAGAAGAAAGAGCCGTCTTGTTATGGTTTATTCCATTCAACCATGACATCTACACCTCGACTATTTCTTTCGTATCTCCTTTTTTGTTATTATATTTTCTTTTCCTTT